ATCTTCTACGGATGGCCCATGTACTACACCAAACTATTGACTAGGCCCAGTATAGTTTCTTTCCACCTTTCTCTGAAGCGCCACTCATTGGCTACCAAGGAGGCACTACATTGGATGCAAAGGACCAATGGTCTAATCTGGTGTGACAAATCCCACATTCATATGGCAACCTTTCATCGGAAAACTTTCTTACTGGACAGCTGTGTTCCAATTTACTGACCACTGATTCTGACAGAACTGGATCAAGTGCACAAAAACAGTCTATTCCCTCCCAGTCATCCCCTTCCTAGCAGTGGGGAAAGAAAGAGACAGCTTGGAGAAGGGGAAGATTAGAAGACATGTATTGATATAAGCCCTGACAGGTGGAAATGTTTGCTGTCAGGGGCTCACATGCCAAGTCAATGCCAAGCACACCAGACACCCAGAGCAAAGGCAATGGCAGGAGACAAACTGCAGGGTTTTAAAAAATAAAAGAAATGGACAGAGACATCTGTGAGGACTAGAAGATCTGACTTCACTAACTGGGACCTATAGGAGTTTCAGATGAGCCACTTAGTTAATTAAGTCTGAGATCGAACTATACCCAGTGCTGGACTAATTTCTTGTTTCATGGTTTGCCCTGTCATCCTGAGTACAGTGATGATGAGTGTTTTAGGAATGTGTATACAGGAGACAGACGAGATTAAGTTCAACAGACAGACATAGATTTCTTTTATGTACCTCTTTGATGTGCCACTGCTGAGGGAACAAAACCCAGATCCAGTTGTATCAAACTCCTTTGGTACCAGTAGAGAGACTCATCTGACCTTCATTACCCCAGAGTAAATCATGAGTAGCTACACTAAAGTCAAAGGAATCACACCAGTAACTCTGATGGAAGTTGGTGCAAGTGCAATCAGAGGCAAGCCCAGAATAAATAAGGGGCTTTGTACTGGAACATAAAATGTAACAGTCTGGTAATGGGATTAGTTTGTAACTCACCAGTTGCTAACGAGTCTGTGCTGAGTGCTGTCATAATGGCTCTATGCTCCTTTCCAGCTCTTTGGAACAAATTAAGCAGACACAGCCCCTGAATAATCCATCCTGGGTTTTATGCAAGACCCAGAGCTAAAACACAACACTCTGTCTGGAGTAGCTAAGCAATCCCAGAATCAGAAAGGCAAGGGCTATTAAATGAAGGCTGCTAATCCTTTACCTTAACCCTGAGTCTCAGTCCAATGTTTCCAGTGACACGGATGTAAACCCCTGGGTCACTGAATGGCCACTCGTATCAGTTACAGGTATAGTCCTGTATACATGTGAGTGTGCATACAGATGTGCATAGGTGCATATATGCAAATTTAGGACTTGATGGCAGAACCGTCCCTCATGTAGTAGACCCAAGGACTCCAATGACACTATGCACGTGAATAAGTGCCCACCATTGTGAGTATGGGTTGTTGCACAATCAGGTGTTTGTTTCTCATTTGGGGTGTATTTATCTCCTTAAAGAGGGTGTAATAGAGTGTAGTTCTCACAGATCCTCTTTTGACCCGTCACAAAATTGTGTAGACTCTTTCTGAATGTTTGGCTAGTTCTAGTAAAAATAAAAGGCCAGGAATAAATCCCTTGTCTTTAAAAAACATGAAAATAAAAAACTGTCCTGGAACAAATTTGGAACAAAAATCTTCATTCAGCTCAGGGTACAATGTCACCTGATTGGCAGCAAAAGTTATGTGTCAAAGAAAATGGGTTGTTTTCACCAAGGTTAGAATCCCACCATTCCCAAACATCCTTGAAAATTCTCCAGTGTCACAGATGCAAACTGTTTCAGCAGAAATCACCAGGCAATGCGGTTACACATATGTTTACAAGTTATTTTGTTAGTGTGGAAGTAGCGCACAGTCTTTGGAGACATGCCTTGTGTTGTTCCTTTTGTGATGTAGTTTCCTTTTGGGGAAATTGTCACAAATAGCCAGAGAGTTTGCAGACTGCTTTGCTGTTACTCCCTCCAGTCATTTCTTAGGACAGAGTTGCGTCCTGGGAATTTGGCTCAGGCGTTGCTCCTGATTTTCCTGGAAGAGGTGTTTGGCTAGGTTCCATTTGTAACCATCCCCTGCTCCAAGGTCAGCGTATACAGAATAAATAAAACAAGCTGCACTCGGACAATACCCAGACTCTGCAGGGCTGATTTCTCCTCCAATGGGAAACCAATCTGCAAGGCCTCAGAATCTACTACCACTTGGCAAAAGGGGCAAAAATACTTTGGGTAGTTTCACTCCACCCTACTTACACTCTCAGTAGCAGAGAGTATAACAGACCGCAGAGTGCAATGCACCTTTGTTGTAATCAAAAGACAATTACAGCCGAGGTATTAAACCACCAAAACTTTACTCTTCTGCAAGCCCAAAAGGATGCCTCTACACTAGCAAATTTCATAGCTGCAGCTCCACTGTTAATAGCAACCCTGGAAACACTAGTAGAGGCAGGACTCCCATGTTCTTACCACTGTCATTTAACCCTGCACTGAGTAAAGCTGGAGTACAGGGGCAGTAAAAAAAACCTGCACCCTGTCTTCACTGCAGCTTCCTCCATTGCTGCTACTACTGAAGCTGCTCTGGTGGGAAATCGTTCCTGCAAACTTTGCTAGTGTGTATCAGGCCTAGGAAGAGCTATTTTCCTGCCTGTATACAATGTGCATTCTGCACACTGCATTTTTACACTGCTCACAGTAGAGTTCCTACTCATATTCTGGAATGCATGAGGCAATTCTCTCAACTAGAGTCACATAAACACTGCAGATGAATTTTGGTGTTTTGACCTGAAATCACTACATTGCACAACCATTTCCATTTGATCATTTATAAAGAACTTTATATGTTATCAAACTTCCTGTTTCATGTGTTCCTGCTCCACATTCCCATAACAAGCTCCTCCAATGGCATACCACTGGGTAGAATTCAAAATTCAGTGACTTACCTGATTTGCAAACACATGTTTGGCAAACAATTCCACTAAGCCTGTAATTCTGCCCACCCAAATCCACAGAGAGTTCCTGTGAGTACTTGCAGGGGTCACTCTGCCTAACACTCTCAGCCAGTGACACTACGTCACTGGATGATGGTGACATATTAACTAAAGCCGGGCAAATTTCAACGGGACTACTGGTTCCACTTGGGTAGACACCTAACAGTTCGTGTCCTTATCCCACATGGATCTAGATTCCTGTGTTATGGGAAACTTGCAAGATCAGTTGAAATTTTCAGTACAACTTGGTTTAAACTCACAGGCTCATAGACTTTAAGGCCAGAAGGGCCCATCGTGATCATCTAGTCTAACCCCCTGCACATGGCTAAACAAGAAATAACTGTGTGTGAATAAGTTTTCTTGCTATGATTTTGGTACACCCAATTCCAGTCTCATCCAAGACTGTAAAAGGCTGAGGTGAATGAACATTACAATAAAACCAAGCAAATAAAATTATAACAGAATTTTAAATCTTTTCATCTCAAAAAGATTCCACTTAGTTGTAGGCAAAAAGGCCAGGATCAGTTCTGGCTGAACCAGTTCCACCTGACCTATTGGCTTTATTTCATTGCCTGGCTTCTGTAGGTGTTTGGATTTTTTTTACTCCCCATTGAGAAGTTAGTTTAACTCAAAGGCTCATGCAGCTCCAGTTCCAATGTTAGGGTTTGATTTATGCCTGGAATCTGTCTGTCTGGCCAGGCGTGAGTGGTTCTCTCTGACACGCTGATTGCTTGTCGGAAGGCTGTCCGCGGCACAGTTAGTGTTTGGGATACACAGTAATTGCTTCATGTTCACATGTACAAGTGAGCATGACAAATCCAAAGGAGCATCTCTATTTTTTAGACTTTTTCATTCCTCCCTCCATAAACATTAAAAATGATGAACAAGGTTGTAAATACGGTCTCCAGCATGGAGAACAGGTGGTACTAATGGCTGTTAAGTATCCCTGAAGGGGAAGACTGGAAATCCACTATAAATTACTGGGGTATTTCTGCTACACAACAACTTGCCTTTTTCACTGGTGAGAGTGAAAGAATCTGTTGACGAAAGACCCGTAGGGGGAGCGTCGACTCGTATCAGTCACTGGGTTTTCTTTTTCCATCACTTTTTGAAAAACATTAGTTTGATGCATGCGCATGTCATTGGCAAGTGAGAATGGTGATGTTGCATAGAAATCTCCCTATCTCCTCAGACACCTGAGTTTATGTTCTTTATACTCTGACATACATCCATGCCAAACTCTCCTCTCACTTACACTGAAGCAACCCCACTGACATCGAGTGCAATGGAATTTCACCCAGGATACTCCGAGCAGAATTTAGCACGTTAAAAAGAGAAGCTTCTCCAAAATAATCAGTAGGGTCAAGGTTTCACTGTGTGCGTCACAGACCCACAAGCTGACTCTCTAAGAATGCCCAATTCTTTGAGGTGTGGAGCACCATCAGTGGGAATTGTGGGCACTTTGCCCCTTCCGGGATCGAGCCTAGAATTTCTATTGCTTGCTGACGAGCTCCTTTCTGAATTTGCAATACTCATTCCCTTCCCTGCAGCTCTCAGGGAATTACTTCCTTGTGGGAGACTCTTTGGGGAGCCTTTTATTGGTGATGGAAACAGATTCTGATGGGGACAGTCTCCCCTCCTCGAACAGCCAGGAAGAGGATTTGTGAGACCCACCCCACTCACCCCAGACGGAGAATCCTTTGGGGCAATGCCACTCCAATGAATGGAACAGATGGGCAAGTGAGTGGAAGTCTGAGAGGACCATCTCCTTCTCTACCTAATTTACCCAGTCGGAAGGATGCAGTGCAGGGCAGCACTGCTAATCTCATGGACTAATGCCTCCACAATGGATTTCTTTAGCAATCACTTGTCTCCTCATTTATAATGAGCATCTCAGTCTGTGGTTGAGGCTGGTGCTGTAAACGTGGAACCAAGACTATTCCCTGCCAACGCCCCTCCTGAGGAGGACCCTCTAGTAATGCTCTCACTCTGACCTTTGTGCCCAATGGTCTGCAATCTCCTCCTCCAGATCCAGCAGGGCTGCTGCCTGAGCCATCAGCTTCTTGCTGCAGGGCAAGGATTTGAGCTGCAGGATGAGGAGTCCCAGGCAGAACTTGGCTCCCATTTCCTCCAACTCTCGCGTTCCAATCTGCAGGCCCTGTCGATGAAAAACAGAAACCTAGAGTGATGAGTCTGGAATCACCCAGCTAAGGGTGGGAGGAAGAGTTACCATCTCATATAGGCTACCGCTCTCTGGGGTATTCCTCCAGATAGGAAAATCTAGAGGCAGGACAATGAAATGAACCGGACAACACCCCAAAATGTTGAACCCACATGCTCACTCCATTGGCCAAAGATTGCAAACACCTATTTTTACTTTGCACTTGCTCCATACAGGTCTTTTCATCTGCAGCGAGATTTACAGTCATTAACAGGGTCCCCTGGCCTCTATTTTACAGACGGGGAAACTGAGGCAGAGAGTTCAAAGGACTTGACTCTGGCTGCAGAGTGAGTCACTGTAAGAGCAAGTATCAGACTCCATGAGTTCCTGGCTCCACGCCCAGCCCTGCACTCAGAACATTACACCACACTTCCTCTCTGTTAAAGCAAGAGTTGTCTCCTTGAGCCATGGGAAGGCAAATGAGCTGTGCCACTGTAAGCTGTCAGAAGTGGCAGAGATGAAAAGGAAGGAGGGGGAAAGATCTTTAACAAGTTATGAATAGTTTACAAAAATCAATAACAAAGTAATTACAAAACAACAAACAACTCTGAGAGGCTTCCCCTTCTATTAAACACTGGTGTCTCCCTGGCAGAGGCGGGCTACTGTTGCAAACTGTGGAGCTGGATTTTCAACACCGCAAAATTTAGGGGAGTCCTGCCTGTTATGAAATAATGGGATGTAGTTCCTGGTTTGGACTGCAAACCTCTGCAAAGTCTGGGAGGCTCTGGATCTGATTTGGTAAGCAGTGCAGATCAGGGTTTGGGTCAGACCCAACACTAATCTGGTACATTGTCAAGTCTCTCTGACTTTGAATAAGGTGGAACGGCTCCTCTTGGACAACCCTAGCTGATAGTCCAGTATCAAAGGAGTCCTGGTCAAGCTTGCATATAGAGGCTGTCAAGGTTCCTTCCCCACTCTGAACTCTAGGGTACAGATGTGGGGACCTACATGAAAGACCCCCTAAGCTTATTCTTACCAGCTTAGGTTAAAAACTTCCCCAAGGTACAAACTTTGCCTTGTCCTTGAACAGTATGCTGCCACCACCAAGCGTTTTAAACAAAGAACAAGGAAAGAGACCACTTGGAGATGTGTTCCCCCAAAATATCCCCCCAAGCCCTAACCCCCTTTCCTGGGGAAGGCTTGATAAGAATCCTCACCAATTTGCATAGGTGAACACAGACCCAAACCCTTGGATCTTAAGAACAACGAAAAATCAATCAGGTTCTTAAAAGAAGAATTTTAATTAAAGAAAAGGTAAAAGAATCACCTCTGTAAAATCAGGATGGTAAATACCATACAGGGTAATCAGATTCAAAACATAGAGCATCCCTATAGGCAAAACCTTAATTTACAAAAAGACACAGCTTATTTTACCAGCCATTAAACAAAAGAAAATCTAATGCATGTTCTAGCTAGATTACTTACTAACTTTACAGGAGTTTTAAGGCTGCATTCCTGATCTGTTCCCGGCAAAAGCATCACACAGACAGACAGAACCCTTTGTCCCCCCCCCCCCCCACCTCCAGATTTGAAAGTATCTTGTCCCCTCACTGGTCATTTTGGGTCAGGTGCCAGTGAGGTTACCTTAGCTTCTTAACCCTTTACAGGTGAAAGGGTTTTGCCTCTGGCCAGGAGGGATTTTATAGCACTGTATGCAGAAAGGTGGTTACCCTTCCCTTTATATTTATGACAGAGGCCAATTCACAAAGGTCTTCCATGGTACATCTCTGATGCCTAGTAAGGCAGATGCTGAAGTACCTTGCTGAATTAGGGCCTAAATAGGGTCTTATGGATTCAAAGACTTTATGGCCAGAAAGGCCCATCGTGATTATCTAGTCTGACCTTCTTCACATTGCAGTCCACAGAACCTCAGCCACCCACTCCTGTAATAGACCCATAACCTCTGGTTGAGTTACTGAAGTTCTCAAATCTTGACTTCAAGATTTCAAGTTACAGAGAATCCACCATTTATTTTAGTTCAAACCGGAGACCTGGACCCAACGCTGCAGAGGAAAGTGACCCCCCCTCCCCCCCGCCAGGGTCTCTGCCAATCAGATCTGGGGGAAAATTCCTTCCCCACCCCAAATACAGCAATCAGTTAGACCCTGAGCAGGTGGGTGAGACCCACCAGCCAGACACCTGGGAAAGAATTCTCTGTAGTCACTCAGAGCCCTCCCCATCTACTGTCCCATTGACAGCCACTGGAGAGATTTGCTAATAGCAGTTGCATGTGCCATATGCCATTGTTGGCAACGCCACATGCCAATATCATCCCTCCATAAGCTTATAAAGCTCAGTCTTAAAACAAGTTAGATTTTTTGTCTCTACTACTCCTCTTGGAAAGCCAATGATCCAGATATAACCAGAATTGACTCATATTAACCCTGAACCATTCAGATGACTCTCCCCTTCCTCACACCTTGTATTTTTAATTTTAAATGGCATCTTTGTGCTTACAGCTCTCAGGGAGGCTGTCACAAGCTTCTCAATCCAACCAGAAGTAGGAAAGGCCAGAAGCCTCACAAGAAAGCCAGTTCTGGTGATATTTCCATTGAAGCTTTACGGGTCTAAATGGACTGTAATGCTTGAATACAGTATGCAAACTTTTAGGCGCTGATCCTAGAAGAAACCAAACTCTGAACCGTTTCTGGTTGTGGGGTGGGGTTTTTTTTGGTTTCCCTCAAAAAATGTGCAACAACTAAAATGAAACAAACCCCGGGGCCTGAATCACCAGCTGCATGTACTTCTTAATGAAACCAATGGGAGTTCCATGTATGCTGTGTAAGGGCTGGACAGAATCAAACCCAGATATACAAAAGCGAGAAAGTGTCTGTAAACTCCACCTCAACTCTGGCATTTATTGACCCCATCCAAAACATTCTCCGGTGCCATCACCCAGGGCAGAATCAATCACTGAACATTTGCTGTCTCTGCCAGTATCAACCCTATGGGTTACCTTAGCACAAAATCTCTCTGTAGCCCCCCCTCTTATATGAGCTCCCAACTCCATTACCAAAGATCGTTTCCTTAGTAATAGTCAAAAGCCCCCATTTGCGTTCCCAGGAACAGCCATGTGAATGGTGTGAGCTCCATTCCAATATGGCCTTTATTTCTGAACTCAGATGTTTACTACGTATTATTACCGAACGTCTTAGGGGTAACAGAGCCGTGAAAGTTCCATTAATCCATTAGAGGCAGCAGAGCTCTGATCTCATGGGCTTTCTCCCTGTATAGAGTCTGTCAGATTTGTAAAGCACTTCAGAACCCTTGGGGACTGAGCAGCCCTCTGTAAGTGCGAGCTGTGATTATTTCTGAATTAAGAGTGCCTGCTAGATGGAAGTAAGGAGAGATTTCTCACATAAACTACTGCACTTCTTGCAAATACTTTTGCCAGGTTTGTCAGGCCCACAAGGCCAGTCAAGCCTATGAGAAAACCACCACTTATGGTTTGGCAGATACAGTACGTGCAAATGTCACCTGGGGTTAAAGCTGCCCTGGCAAATGCAGCTTTTCATGGTAAATACGTTGAAATTCTTGCTCCTTCCCTGGCTTCTGAGACAAAACTACAAATTTGCAATTATTATCATTGTCAATAATAAAATGAAATAATACAGCACTCAAAAATATACCAGGCACAAGAGACAAAAAGAAAAAATACCTGCTCGATTGAAATAAAGCAGTGATGTAACATACAAAGAGAGAGCAGCCTGTGGTCTAGTGGTCAGAGCACTAACTGGGAATCTGACAAGCTGGGTTCCACTCCCCATTCTCCCAGTAACCTGCTATAAAACCTTGGGCAAATCTCTTAGACAGTAAACTTTTCCGGGTAGGGACTAAATGTGTGGGTATAATGAGTTATGGCAGGGATCTGCAACCTTTGGCATGCGGCCCGCCAGGAAAAGCCCCTGGCGGGCTGGGACCATTTGTTAACCTGCCGTGTCTGCAGGTTTGGCCAATCACAGCTCCCACTGGCCGCGGTTCGTCATCCCAGGCCAATGGAGGCTGCAGGAAGAGGCGGCCAGCACATCCCTTGGCACACGCCGCTTCCCACAGTCCCCACTGGCCTGGAATGGCGAACCGCAGCCAGTGGGAACTGCGATCGGCTGAACCTGCGAACGCTGCAGGTAAACAAACCGTCCCAGCCCGCCAGTGGAGTTCCCTGGAGGGCCGTGTGCCGAAGGTTGCGTTCCCTGAGTTATGGGAATACAAATCATTAATAATAGTAAGAAACCAGAGAGATAAGGCACAGGAAACAAGGGTTATAAACACAAGGCAGTGATAGTGCTTGGTGCCTCTGAACAAGTTTAAGTGTATTATTTATTTTATTCAAAAATAATTTTTTGGCAGTTTTTGGTTATGTCCAAGTAAAGAGGATGGAGGTGCCTGGCTCAAGCAGAGAGAGCAGAAGCACAAATCCGCCATTTAGAGAATGACAAGGGCTTCTCTCAGGTGCAGAATACACAGAAAACATCTTGAGGCTTCCTCTGTGGTGTATCGCAGGTCCCTGCTTCCAAGATCAAGGCAACACACTAAATACTTATCAATCCCGGAGATGCCAAGCAGCGACTGTGCTAAAGCTCTGCCTGTGGCTTTATGATTCCCCAGAGTTTTATTCAGGATATGAAGAGGCCTTAAGAAACTATGAGCGGAGAAATAATAATAATAAAACCATAATATACCTGAGAAACATCAGGCTGTAATTGCTCATGCACTGAAGTTAGCTACCATACCATAGTCCCATATTGCTTTGATATTAGACAGCTCAGGAGTAACAGCTGGAAATCTCAGCTAGAGGATTACTTGTTAACATACTTTATTCACTTCAAACACAGAGAGACTTTTATTTTTTAACTCAGCTAGATCACATAATTCTCTCTCTCACTTCCCCTCCCTCCCCTCTCCACGCCTTTCAGCAGTGGGTGTGGTTGGAAGGGGTG